TCTCTCTCTCTCTCTCTCTCTCTCTCTCTCTCTCTCTCTCTCTCTCTCTTTATATATATATATATATTTCATTTTAAACTTTGTTGGCCAGTGGGCACTTCTGGAATTTTGTGAGCACTTCATGGACATCTGCACAAAATGACACATGGAGGGAGAGGTTTGCCAGTTCAGGAAATGACTGACATGTTGAGCCTAATCAATCACAAAGCTTTCATTTTCTTGAAGGCACACTGTTCAGGCTAAAGCTGAAAGAAAAGGAATTTCCCCAAGAAACTAAAATAGAGATGGTGGTATCTCTAAGGCATAAAACCATTTTTGGAACCTACAGTTTTCTGTTCCAAAGCACCTTTTGCAGAAATCAAAATGTTCAGGGCAACAGCTGCATGCACAGGGAAAATAACCATCTAAATTCCATACTTCCATGAGGCAAAGCACATCTGTGCATAGATGGACATGCACTCAAAGAAATTAGTTAAAATACAGGTTACCACCAAAAATCAAAAGCAAAAGGGCAAATATACAACCAGAAAAATCAGCTTGCTCACTTACAGATAAATAATGTATTCTTGCTCCTGACTACTTTATTTAGCTCTTCTAGGAAGTTCTTTACTAATGTTCTAGCAGATTCATGTAGAAAAGGAGTATGGTATGAATACATGTGACTATGTCACAAAATCAGGAAAGAGTGATTTATCCATCCTTAAAAGTAGCTCTTCAGAACAAGCAGCCAATATGAATTTTGTGCTCCTGTGTGATAACTAGGATGAGTAGGGTGCTGGTTAGCTTTCAGTTAGCTTCTAACTCACTTCTATATATGTTGATTTATTATTGTAAGCCATCTTGAATGCTCAGGTTCTTGGTGCTCTCTGAGCTTGGTTGTTTTCTTGTAGTATTTCATTACACAGTTAGGTAACATCATCAGCATGAAGGAGAATGGGGTTTGCTGGCTGCTTATTTACAGCTGTTGCCCTGTCAGTCTTGGTGGGTGTGTGGCTGTTGGATGAGATGCATTCTAGGCTGTTTGTTTCTTTCCTAGGCCAACACCCAGATAAACAAGGAACTGTACCAGATAAACAATTAGGGAAGAAAAAAAAATACCCTAATCAAAGAACCATCAAGGAAGAAGCCACACCCCCACCAAGACCGCCAGCAAACCCCTCTCTACCTTGCACTGATGAGGTTACCTAGCTGGGTAGTGAAATATCTGCAAGGAAACAACCAAGCTCAGAGAGCACCAAGATCCAAAAGAAAGAAGTTCCCACTTGACCACAAGGTCATGGAATGCTTTTTAGCCAATCATTCCCTCTCAGACCAACCTATCTTACAAGGTTGTCATGGGGATAAAATGAAGTGCAACCCTCCCCCCAGTGTAATCAGCCTTGACCTCTTAGAGAAAAATACAATAAATAAATAAAAAAAGAATGAGATTGATAAGACATGGAGAAAACAGGACATTTCCAACTTGGAAAATAGTTTGAAAAAAGTATAACTTGTTCCAGTATAATACAGGAGGAGAGCTTGAATATGAAATTTTAAGGCTGAATTGCAATTCTTAGAAAATGGTATTTGGAAGGTTTATTTATTATATTTTAGTCTTGACTTCATTTTTGGTCACCTCAAGGCAATATATGTACTTAATGCTCCCATTGCCCCATAACTACAATCCAGTGAAGGTGGGTTGCCCTGAGAAAGAGTGACTAGCCCAAAGCCACCCAGCCAGCTTTCAGGTCTAAGAAAGGATTAGAACTCACAATGTCCCATTTTCTAACCCAGCAGCACTGTAGCCATCTTGGTTTTATGCCTGGCAAAAGCCTAAATCAGGGATGATACCAAGCTACACAGGTTTAAGGGTTATGCTGGAACCACATGCCAAAAAGTTTCTGGGCCACAGGAAAGACATAGAGAAGATGGAAGAAGACTATATATTATGTCACTTATCACATATTTAAAATAAAATAAAACTAATTTTATACAATTAGTAAAGTTACTCTCAATATATTTAATGTTTTCCCTTCTATAATATCAGACATTATTGGGAAAGATCCTTTCAAGGGGCTTTAAAACCTCCCAACCACCTCTCCTTGGCTCTCTACAGATAGGCTGGACTACAGATTGCAGCAGACTCAAGGAGCTTTAGTCACACATATCTGGAGGATATCAGGACGGGAAAATGTGATTCAGAAGAGCTATCCCAACCATGAGGATGAGAGGAAATCCTTCTCCTGAATCTGGTGAAGCACCAAAGTGCAAGGCCTGAGTGTACTTTCTGATGCTCTAGCAGGAAATTACTATTTTGCAACAGAACTGAAATGAGGCAAGGAAAAGGAGGTTTCCCTTAAATATGATATTTCACAGGCCCTCAGCATCTGTAAACTTTACAAGTTGATTAAGGTACAAGAGGAAGGTTGACGGATTTCCAAGGTTGTATCACTTCATTTATTTACTGGTTAATTAATATCATAACAAAGAAACTTGTGAAATCAGAAGAGAGATTCCTTAATCCTTATTTTACTAAGTAAACAAAACACGATTGCTTTCAAATATTCAAATGTTGGTCAGTACTGAAAGTTCAAAATAATAAAACATTATCCATCCATCCATCCATCCATCCATCCATCCATCCATCCATCCATCCATCCATCCATCTCTCTCTCTCTCTCTCTCTCTCTCTCTCTCTCTCTCATCTATCTATCTATGGAATTGGTGTGACTGGAAGAAAAAAGTTCCTGATTTGATTAGCAGGAGCACATATTAAGAAAAAACCTTACTACAAATCATATATTTGCAGACAACTTGCTATCCAACCTTTGCTTGAAAATCTCCAGTGATGGAGCACCCATGACTCCAGGAGGCAGGCTGTTCTGTACTGTTTCACTGCTTGAATCACTGTTATTCAGCTGAAGCAATAATGATGTCCTCTGCATCATGACCTCATTGAAAAAATGAGGTCATGATGCCTATGACATCACTTGTCATTTATAATCCTCAGCATAAAGATACAGCACAAATATAACTGCTTGGGGAAAAGTTGCACAGAGAAAATTATTGATTGTATGTTTAAGTTACCTAATAATGGACATTCTAACTGATGGGACACAGTTGGCATTTTCCTGTTCTTGTGAAGTTATAACATAAACTTTTTATTGTACATTGCCCAGAGTCACTCCTTGAGTGAGATGGGCGGTGACTAAATCTGAAATATAAATAAATAAATAAATATTTTATACTGAGGGCCCCTATGGTTAAATGGTTAGTGATTAAATGGTAGGCAATGTGATTCTATGGATTCACTGCAGCAACCATAAGGTGCTCTATAGTTACCTATTATTATTACTTTTGTTTTTTCAAAAATGAGTGGCAGTGCTTCAGAATGAAGGGCTGCCCTCCAGCCACCTAAAGATTGATTTCATTTGGGCTTACTTCTATTATGGGATTGCATGCTTAGTTACAGTTTAATTGAATGTAAACAAAACCTTGGAGTTGCACCATCACTTGCTCAGGTGAGCTGAGGTGAGCACTGCTCTTAGCCATACTGAATCTGTTTCATGCAGCTGCCTTGGGTGAATTGTTATAGTCCAGCTGTGGTCAGATAGAAAAGGTAAGTTTAAATGCATTCATGTATATGACATGACCTGTACAGTTATGATGAATGAAAATATCTCTGGCATTTATTATGTTTCTTCTAAAATAGCACCTCACCTAAATTACCAGGGATGCAGCTCGAAAGAGAAAGATTAGTCTTTGGCTGGTGTGGCATACTGACTTCAAAGCTGAGAAAGAATTGAGAGAAGTTGTAGTTCCCATGTAATTACTACTGTAATGAAATCTAATTCTCTCTCTCTCTCTCTCTCTCTCTCTCTCTGTCACACAGACACACACACACATGTACTTGCTCAGAAGTAAGGCACATTTAACCCCTGGAAATCATTTAACTAATATACGTTTCTATCACCAGCATCTTGGAAGATATCGTTATTTATGTATGTATTTGGTTTTATTGTATTTTTATACTATTTTTATTCTATTTTAACTA